TATAATCTTAATCTAAACAAACGTTGATATTAAAATAAATATATAATAATAAATCTTCACACTTGTGGTTGTTTTGTAAGCATGTTTGTTTAACATTTCTTATTTGTTAAAAGTGTGAAATCATCACAGTTATCTTGTTATATGTTTGTGATTTGTGGTTTCAGTAAGGTTTTCAGTTACATGATGAGTTATTTCCATTTCGTTTTCACTAATTTCATGGTCCGGAGAGCTACAGCTTTCTGTAGATCTCCTAACCAATTTACGTTTCTTAGAAATAATTTTAAGCTCTTTCTTAGCAAGTAAAATTAGGTTGTGTAAGCTAGGACTTATTTCTAAGCTTGTTTTGCTATTACTAGAGGTACCAGCTACACTAGATTTACTATATAAGTTGCTAATGGAAGAGGTATATTCGTTTACACGTGCACTTGTAGAAGGGGAGACGTAAGTTTTCGTCTTCATAGTTCATTTCATTGTTGAATCCTTGAGAAAGAGAAAACGCACACAACGACCATGCGCCCTTCTTAGTTTCCTTTGCCCTGTTTATTAGTTTTGTCTTGTTGATTACGTTATGTAAATAGCTCCGGCATGGCCTGGTGGTTAGGGCGCTCGACTTGCAATCTGAGGGTTGCGAGCTCGAATCTCTGTCCTACCAAACATGCTCGCCCTTTCAGCCGTGGGGGCGTTATATAGTAATGGTCAATCCCACTATTCGTTGGTAGAAGAGTAGCCCAAGAGTTGGAGGTAGGTGGTGATGAATAGCTGCCTTCCCTCTAGTCTTTCATTGCTAAATTAGGGCCGGCTAGCGCAGATAGCCCTCGTGTAGCTTTGCACGAAATTCATAAACAAACCGTTACGTAAATATCAGTTGAAAATTTGTCTCTTGCTGTCACAGCTTCTTCAGAAGGGTGTCACGTGTGCCAGTAGTCGTATACAGAGAAGCTTTAACAAATCTCACCGATTATTTGAAGTAAGCCTAATGTGATATCAGTTCAAAACGTTTTTTTATCAGAGCCTTCAGGAGGTACGTCTTAATTACTCAAGCGCTAGAGTCAGAATCTGGCCGGGGTCCAGGGCTTGCTTTAGAACCCCGAAAGCTCTTGGGTTCTGGATTACATTGGATGCATTCTCCTGCTTTCCCTGAGAGTAATTTTCCTCATTTTGTTTCATTTTTTATTGGGACAGACTGAAAAGTGAAGGGGCAGTCCTCCCCCTACATCACCTCCAACGCCACTGTCCTGTACAGGTTTCCAGTAAGAAGAAAATAATAGCACTCTTAGTCGCCCTGATGTGTAGCGAAAGGCCTCGTGTGATACACAAGGTGTGCGATCGAGATGCGATTATGTTATTATTGCAAACCAGTAAAGAAATATATGTTATTATGATGTCACAAGATCAACCGATTTACAGATTATGCTTTGCCGGCATGAGGCGTTATATACCATTATAATTAAAAAAAAAAATCTTACTTATAGAAGTTAACAAGATGTGTCTGAGCACAAATTCCGTGAGCACTTACTTTTAGAAGATACTCGTGCACGTAACTGAGTATAAAAAAATAATAGCATGTACTTACCTCAATTGTAGGTGCTAGTATCATCGCCGTTTAATGCCGTCTTGGATAGCTGATTGGCAATATGTATTGTTTCTTTCCATTTTATATAGGTAGAGCTGCTGATTTGAGTTTTATTGGATATTTGTTTTACCAATTATCAGGAAAGTAACTAGTAAGTAATATTCGAACTATGTATATCCAAGTAATAACTAAGTTATTATTAAAATGCTTTGTAAGCTTTAGGTATTTTCATGTTATTTGAAGTATATTGGTTCTTATATGAACATTCTTTGTATCGCTGGCTTAGTGTATGGAGTTTATTTAGCCAGACACAAATCTCATAAGCTGAAGATACGTCTTGGGTTGTTATTGAAATTCTGGCCGAAAACTTGCCAACAGTGAAGAAACGTGTCTAGTTTATTAAACAAAATTCAATTATAATAAATATATGGTGATTAACTTTTCATATTGTATTAAAGTAATTAAGTTGTTACACATGTATTTATATGTACGGCTATATGTATATTTATTCATAGAGATTACACATCACTTTTTAAAACAAGTTCTCACACGTCAAGCTTAAAACAAAGTTGTTATAAATAAAAGACAGACGAATAAAACTGTAGTTGCAAACTACAACATAGTTCTGGAGGTACTTGTGTATGTAGGACCCACACAGTGGTCTTGACACACCGTCTATTAGATTTAACACCCATTCACAAGTTTTATATGTGAATGGGTGGAGAAGTTAAATTAAAAGCGGGTATGAGCTGAAGCCCAAACTACCCAGATTTAAAACTACCATTCACAAATTATGCCCTTCTTCGGTTGCTCAGCGATTAGCTTGAGGACTTATGACGCTAAAATTGGGGTTTGATTTTTGCAGTGGGCACAGCGTAGATATCCCATTGTGCCAGCTAAATTATACTTTATTTTCATTTCTTTTATTTGTAATTAAAGTGGCTCACTTATTTTGAATTTCGCGCAAAGCTACACGAGGTCTATCTGCGCTAGCCGTCCCTAATATAGAAGTGTAAGACTAGAGGGAAGGCAGCTAGTC